GAGAAGCCTACCCACGAGAAGCCTGCCGGCCCCAAACCAAGCAGCCTAACCATCAAAGGCTCCAAGCCCACCACCAGCAAGCCTTTAATCCACAGCACAATCCCCGTCTACGTTCCTACCGCCTCTAGTACTGCCTCCACCTTCGCGACTCCTTCCAAGGGTGGTGACGATAAAGAGGGTAAGGGTAACGAAAACGGTGTGTATCCTACTGCTACTGGGGACGAGTTCAAGTCGCTTGGTGGTAAGGTGAGCGCGTCGGGATTGGGTGTTGTGGTTGGGGGAATTGTTGGGTTGTTGGGCTTTTTCTACTGAGCTAATTAGCTGGCTGGCTGGTTAGCTTGGACTGGTTGATTATGTGTCTTGATTTTGTGGTGAAAATGTGAGGTGGATAGATTGTTCTCTTTCCGTAGATCGTTGGTGGTTTAAGCGATTCGGACTATCTGGTCCGGATGAGATAATAGACTAGACTGATTTTGCAGATTGATAGATGGGTGGAGGCGTTTGTTTTGGTTTAATCATTGCTTGTTTGTTAGCTAATGCTAATAATACATTAATTATATATCATATCCAAATCTATCCCACCGTCTTCAATTCGTCAAAAAAACCCAACCCAGTTACAATCAAAATTCAACAACTAAGCCCCCCAATTAACCCACTCACACCCACACCCTCCCGTCCCTCCATCAACCCCTCCCCAGCCATCATCGCTAACAACACTTGTGCTATTAAACACCCCCGGCGCCGCATTCACAAGCGTCCCGTCATACCCCCTCTCCTCGACCTGTAGCTTGATCTCCGTCGAGTTAAGACTCATGTCGTCGGATATGCCGTAGCAGTAGACCATTTTCTGGGATGCGTTGCCGCCGTGGCGGTCGAGGTTTAGGGTTATTGGGTACGGGAATGTGCCCGGGCGGGTGTAGTCTTCTTTCGTTATGGTGGAGGTGGATGTGCTGGTAGGGCTGGAGGTTGAAGAGGAGGAGGTGGTGCTGGTAGACGACTGAAGTACCGTCTTCCCCGACTTCTCCCCCTTCGTCCAGATCTTCACCAGAAACCGCGTTTGGGACCAAGTACATCTCACACGAGCATTTTCCTTTGTTGAACCCCCGTTCTTGTCGTTTGAGATTGTATCAACCGGATTTCCGTTTAGTGGGGCGTCGGATTCGAGGAATATCGACTTGTCAAAGTACGTGTAGAACCCGTAGTGCTCGTCATCTTGGTCGCGATTGTACAATCGGACTGGCTGAGATTCAGGGAGGGGGTAGAGGTTTGCTGGGGCTGCTGTGCCGTCAGAGTCGGAGTCGGGGGGTGGGATTATATCTGTGAGGTTGGGGAAGAAACTTCTTCGTGATAATCCGGACGAAGATGAAGAGTCTGATGAGGAATTTGTCGAAAGGAAAGTCATAAAGAACGGCGTTTCCTCGCCTGCGTACGGCTCGGCGATATTATCTGTTGTGTTTCCCAGGAACTCCTGGTCTCGTGTAGACGGCGCCGAGGGCGAGGGGTCCCAGGTACTATTACCACTGCCACTACCACTCCGCTTCGAAACAGGTACCGTACTCCTCGGATACGACCCATTACGGAACTGAATCTGAACCAGAAAGTTCGGCTCGTCCGCATCATAAGGTTTATTATCGTCCTGCTGCTCCTTCGGCAGCGCACAACTCCACAACGTCTCTGGATATACACACCCCGATTCCTGTTTTTTTGAATTTGGGCCAGCAATAGTCGCGAGACCAGTTGGCATAGGTGGGTATCCGGTTAAGTTCAGCCAGTTTGAGCTAGTTGGTGTTATTTTTGTGGTATTATTGGTGTCGGTGGATGGACTAGAAGGCCCGGATTTATGCGTAAGGAAAACGGCAAGGAGGATTGCGACGACGAGGATCATTAGGAAGAGGCAGGCAATGGCGGCGTAGCAGCGGCGTTTTGTTTTGCTTTGTTTGTCGGTTTTGCGGTTCAGGCATTTGGTCAGAATGCTTGGTTTCCCGTTGTTTTTGGTGGATTTGTCGTGTTTTTCGTGGATCTGTGTTGTAGTGAACTCTCTCTGGGTGACTGGTGGTGTTGCGGCTCTTGCTGGGTGGGGGTTAGGCCACTGGCCGACATGGCCATCGTTGGATGTATTTACTGGCGTGGTTCCCGTGGGATGAGGATTCGGCCACAGACTGACTTGGCTAGCAAGAGCAGCAGGCGCTTTGGGGGGTTCCAGACCGCCCTGCACATTAGACGATGGAGCCGGTCCATTTTGCAGACTAGATAGCGGAATCCCAGTCCGTTCAGTCGCCTGCTGAAACGCCGGGGAAACCGGGGACGGAGCTTGTGGTGGTTGGCTCTGCGGGACGACGATGTAGTGAGGAACTGCTCTTTCGACTGTAACTGTGGTGGCTGTGCTCGTCTGTGGCACTGGTGGTGGAGGTGAAGCAGCGACAGGGGGGGCACAGAAAGGTGTAACTGGCGTAGTTGGGCGGACTGTTGTCGTCTGGGCGAATGGGTTCAAAAGTTCAGGCTGTCGAGGACCCGTTTCGATGGTCAAATTGCGAGCGGCCTCTTTGGGCTTCGCGATGTTCCCGGTCTCAGGCTCTCTCACGGATGGCGCGTTAGCAGCCGTAGTTCCAGAGAAATATTGCGCGTGGGTTCCCTCAGACTTAGGGCTCTGCATCTCCGCATGCTTATCGACAACGGCAAAACCAGCAACACCCTTCGCACCTGGTTGCTCTTCCACCTTAGGTTCAGAGACTTGAATAGCTGGAGCCACCGGCGTAATCGAACAAACATGTCCAACGCACTCGAAATACGGCCTTCCACTGAACAATTCATGCGCACACGCTTGGTAATACTCCGCCGCACAACCTTGAATTACTTGCCCCGCGAACATCCCCGACGCCATATCATTACCGCTCTCGTTGCCGTTCCTGTTTGTATTTAGGTTCAAGCCCCGATCCATATTCACAAATGGGTTCGTAGTCGTCGTCACGCCCTGCCATCCGCACTCAACGGGGTCGATACAGTTCTCGGTCTCGGGTGTATCAGGCGAGAAGCACGAGACCTCTTTTGAGGTGGAATCCTTTTCCCACCAGTCTTCACTTGACACAGTCGAGTTTGCACGTAGCTCTGGTAGTAAAGGTGGTCGATCCGGGCTCGTTGGCGTTACTGTTTTTGCGGAGGCCGAAGCGCTGGATTTCAGCAACGGGGAGAGAAGGTATGTCCACCATCCCTGCGATTGGTGGCGGTTTGTATCTGTGTTGATGCTTAGCTTGGATAGGGCTTTTCTTCGTTCGGAGCGAGGGCGGGGCTGTGGTTCGGGCTGCGGTTGTGCTGAGGTAGGGCTGTCGTCTTCTTCGAAGAGCGTTCCTGTGGAGTATGCGCGTGATTTTCTCGTTCTGAAAATCGATCTCCGCTGGTGTTGCGGGTTCGGTACCTGCTGTAAATTCGGAGTATTCGTCGCCGTTGGCGCTCTAGAGTGATACGCCGGAATAGCAGGAACAGGCGGTACTTCATCATAATCAATCATAGGATTCGGCGTCGGTGTCGAATAAACACTCGACGCAACGCGAGGCCTCGGATGATGCTGCTGCTCCGGGATATCATCCTCCCAAAAACTATCCTCTCCAGCCGGGGTGACAATAATCGACGGCGTCACGGGAGTGATCTGGCTATCAATACCCTCAATATCTCTTTCTCTTGACTTCCCCTTATCCGAATCCGAGCCCACAGAGTCAGCATATGTAACGCTGAGTCCAATAGTAATAGGTCTATCCCCCGGTGAGAGCTCATCTTTGCGCTTCTTATTCGGCCGCTCGTGAGCTTCCTCGGGTACTGGTGGATGCGAATCAAAAACAGCCCTCCTCGGTTCCAAAGACCCGTCCGGCACTTGCATTCGTCGTAGACCCTGCGATCTCCTTTTCTTAAGAATCCCCTTGATCATCTGCACTGATCGCTCCCGCTCTCGCGTTCGACATAGAGTCTTTAGACTTTCCAGATCAACCAGCGTCGGACTCCGCTTCTTAGGCTTGGGAACAGAAAGCGACGAGGAGAAATCCGTTACCAGGTTCAACCCAACCGGCTTCCTCGCGTCAGAACCAGAGCCAGCACCAGCACCAGCACCAGCACCAGCAACCTTCAACCCACCCTGCTCATCCGTCTCTACCATCTGACTCCGATGCGCATCCCGCTCAGACGTATGCAGCAGCGGCATCAGCCGCGCTGTCTTGGATACCTCGACGGGTTGATGCCGGTGATGCCGGTGATGTCTTTCATCTGAACAGGTTGAGGATGGCGGGCTGGGGATTTCTTCGGTGATGGGGGAGGAGAGGGGGAAGGAGGGGGCTGTTGGGATGCGAAGGGTTGGGATTATTGGTTTGCCAGTCATTCTGCTTTCTTCCTGTATTGATCAGCATTAGGCTATACAGTGTAGTAGTGTGTATTCGAGACATACGAATTATCGATGTCGATTCCTTGAGCCAAGGTCAAGGCTGGAGTTGGGAGTGGTGAATTGTAGCTGTTGAATGGATCTACTGTTGACGGCCCATTGAGACAAACAAAGACAAAGAAGATACAATAGGTCTTTCATTCACAACAAAGACAAACAAGTAAAGGAAAAGGCCAAGCCAGAGCCAACGGAGAAAATATTTTCAAAGAATGACAAGAAGTGAAGACAAAAAGATGAAAAGATGAAAAGATCAAAGATCAAATCCTCAACAGACGACAACAGACAACAAAAACCTAATCGCTCTCATGTTATTATTAGCCCACATTTCAGTCTACATGTCTATCTTCTCTGTACATAGTAAAGAAGCAAATAAACCAGCCCGCTTCTTCACTATTCCCGATCTCAATCTGGATCTGGCCGGCGGCAGCTTGGAACCATGTAACCAGCATGATTGGACAAGGGCACCACCTGCATGGCCAGCTGCGAGGCTGTTTCCTGAAGAAAGCAAGAATATTGGGCAAAATAATCAGAAACAGCGTGTTAGAGTACGCGCTGGACTGGGGACGGCGCTTGGGGAGATTGGGAATGGCGGGTGGTTGTGCATCTGCCAATCATGGCCCGTGTTAAGGAACTGTAGCCGCCGGGGACTTGTACAAGTATCTCTACATAGTACAGCAGAGACATTTGATCCAGACTACAATAGAATGCTGCAGTATGCTACAGTACAACAATCACAATCCAAACTGAACTCCAAACACGCCGGTTTCTCGGATTCTTTTAGTAGAGACACAAACCATTCCCGCCCCAGTCATCCCAATGCAGAATTAAATCAATCCAGTCCAAAAAAAGAAAACTTCCCGCTGGAGAGCAGACATCGCACAGCGTAACAAAACCAAGCCGGATATCGTGCGGAATCAGAATTCCACGGGTATATTTCCCTCATGGGGATACAACATAAAGATCAAAAAAAAAAAAAAAATAGCACGCAGAAACACCCAAACCAGTGTGGCCAGCAACGTAACACGTTTCACATCTAGAATATATTAAGGACGAGAAAAACGGTAAAAGTGCCAACTCGATGGCAATATACAGTGCGTGGTGAAACGAATATAACTAGCTTTTTACCGTCGCTCGTCCGTGTATTGCACTCCTTGCATCGCCGAGGATCCATTCATGAGCGGCGGAAGTGTCCGTGGTTGTTCATGGGTAATCACAGGGCCATGGTTGTAATGGAAAACCGGGCCATGACCATGACCATGGCCATGACTATGGCCGTGACCGTGACCATTCGTGTGCGGTCCAGGGATTGAATGGGGCTCATACATCGATTGGGTCCGTGCATGGCCGTTTTGCTGCTGGTTGAGCTGGGCACGCAAGTCTTCCACCTCGGTCCGTAAGAGCGAGTTCTCCCGACGGACACCACCCAGGTTTTTCTCCAAGTGCGAGATATATTCGATTGCTGAACGTGTTAGAAAGGTTGTAACCATACTGGATGAGAGGTGCCTACCTCGTGTAAGTGTTTCCCATTTACTGGACTTGTTGGTCTGGCTCTGCGGAAGTCGCACCCGCAGAGCTTCAAAGCAATCTTTCATCTCGCTGCGGCGTTTCCGCTCTGCCAGCTTATGGGTAACCCTCAGCTCGGGTGTCCGGCTGTAAGGCGTATTTCCGGCCGGATCGGGGTCCCCAATGAGATCCCGGACTTGCTTATGCTGTAAACTATGGTGATGCACGCTTTGGGGGAGTTCTGTAATGTATGAGCTTGAATTCTTCAAAGTCCGAGAGTAAACCCACCATGCTGACCCCGGGGCAAACGCGCATCCGAGTACAAACTGCTGATCGAGTCTGCTGTGCTCCCCTTCCGCGAAAACTGTGGTGTGGACTTTTCGGTGGACGAAGAAAGGGAATTGGATCGAGTGACATCCGGATCAGGGAAAGCGTAGGCGAGACCCGCGGTCGGTGCCTCTGCATTATAGATTTCAGAGCGAGGATTGTTGGAGATGGCGGGTGCAGTGCGGCCTGCCGCAAAGCTGCGATGCTCGCTCGTCCGCGGACCGAGCGGTGACATGGCCGATCCCCCCGAGTAACGAGGACCGCGATAGATTCCCATGTCTGTAGAGATACCACGTTCGCGTTGGAGATTGGAGACGATCGATGTTTGAGAGGCATTGGTGCTGTGGTAAGGTGAGGAGGGGTTGATGGCCAACGAGCTGATCCCTTGGTTCATGCGGCTGTCGATACTGCTCCGTCGCGACTCGGGAGGATCTGCGAGGCTACCTCGTTGCGATGCGGCCTCATGGTTATAGTTTATGGAGGGAAGGGTGGAAGGATGTGGTTGAGCGGAGGCGCTATAGCCAGGAGAGTGTTGGGCACCAGTAGAGGAAGGAGTATTACTGTTGGAGTGGTCATGAAGGTATGGAGATCGATCGGGGACGCAGGAGACGCGGTTTGGAGAAGGTTGTTGAGAGGTAAGGAATTGCAGGGAGGGATAGTTGCTGGTGCTGGTTGTTGCGGTTGAGTAGGTGGAGGATCCTTTTTAGATTATCAGCTCAGTTCACGCTCTGTCATTTTAAAACGTGCGTCCGTACTTGTGCTATGAGGCATTGACCAGTTCCCCGAATCTCGTTCAATGGTGTTCAGCGACAGGTTGCCGGGTGATTTCTCTGCCGGATGAACAACATAACCGTTCATGCTCGCCGTCAAAGTCGAGATGGAAGGGAGAGTTTGCGAAGACGAAACCGGCGGAGTCTGTGAGCCGGTGGTCTCCCAAGGCCGGTGCGAGATGGAGGGGTCCATGGTGTTGTTTTTCTCTTCGATAATCAATACAGGAATCGATTCAAATTATCTCATGATCCGAAACCAGGGCGCAATGGGATGTTTCTCGGGGAAGGAAGTGGAGGATGAGTTTTTGGTATCGGAGGATGAAAGAAACGGGCGTCGAAGGATCAAAGAAAACCGATCGGACAGAAAGACAGAAGTCGATTGCCTTGTCTGGGGAAATCGACAAATAAAAATAAAAAACCGAGATCACACGGTCATCACCCTTGCGATATGATCGGGAACGGGCAGGCAAGAGACGACGGGGAGGAGAGTGAGTGGTAGACTCAGAATCGACCGGGCGCAAACAGCAGCGAAAGAGACCGGGAGGGGAGGACTAGTGAGACGTCAAAAGTCGAGCCTGCAGAGTGCGGTACATGCTGGTCAAGGTTAGAATACAGAAATAAAAGGGGAGGGAAAGAAGAGAGGGAAAAGAATGTGAAGACACACAGAGAGAGGGAAAGGGTACGTGCAGTGTGGGAGGAAAAGAGGTGGAAATGTAACTGATCGATCGGGGGGGGGAGAGAAAAAAGAACAGCCCAAAAAGAAAAAAAAAGAGAAACACCGGACCGACAGTTAGACTCGTTTTTTCTTTTTTTCTTCTTTTTAAACTTGTTCAAGAAACAATTGTTTTCTTTTTTTTCAGGAGAGAAATTAATTCAGTCGTAGTACTTTATTTGTACGGAGTACTCTGGCTGTACGGTAACACCCATGCTACGGAGTACTCTCTACAAAAAATATTAATAGGAATTGTCAGTCGCGTGTGTTGCCATGTGTCTGCAGCTGCCGAGTGATTCGTTTGCAGATCTGTAATGGGTCTGTATTTCGAGTTATTACAGAATACAGACAGAGTCATTGTACTCTTACAGACTAAGTCTATGACATTTGAATTCTTTAAAGTGTGAGGTCCGAGTCTTGAGTCCCAAGTGCAGAGTCCGCAGAGTCCCCTCTGGAGGAGACTGCCAGGTACGCTCCACTGCACTACCCGATCGGCGTCTCAGATGCGGGAACGAGTCTGTGCTCGATATTGAGACCTGTGATTCTAGATTGCGAGATTTCAAATCCATACTAACTACTCTCTTACTTCTTATGTATATAAACCATCGACAATCATTCTCCGTTGTCCATCCGCAGTCCTTTAATAACATTGCATATTCTTTGTGTAGAATACATTATTGCCCAAAACGGTTAGTCTATGGATGAACGGGAAGTGGGGCAACCCAACCGCCGGGGGTCGATCGTTCGCTAACCAGCCAATCGGGTTGCGCTTCTCCGGGCCACTGCAAAAAAGGTTGGAATCACGAGGTCAGCACGTTTTCCTGTTCTTTACCGTAAGATACTGTATTGTACTGGTAAATACCGTACTGATGGAGAAGGCATCCATCACGTGGCGATCAGCGCTCCACATGAACGGTCAACCTTGACTGGTCGTCGAGCCGGAGTACTAGTCATAGTAGTCATAGTTGTCATAGCACTAAGGATGCTCCGAAGTACCGCTTAAGAGCCTAGTTCTGAAGAATTGCGTGGTCGCCTGCCATTGGTAGAGTCAGTATCGGTATGGAGTACTCACAACAAAGAGTGTGACCTGCAGTGTGCCGTCGACTGGTCATTTCACTTCGGTCGAGTCGTACAGATTGACATGGATGCTGGGGGTACACTACTTTACATCCTTGCAGACAACAAACAATGAGGTGATTGTGTGGGATTTGGTCTGCTTGCCCTTGCTTGAGTAACAATAAAATGGCCCTTTTATTCTCTATCTACAGAGTACGGAGTACATTACTCCTCATCGTCTGCCTCTTCATCATCATCCCCCTCTTCATCTTCATCATCCTCCTCCCCTCCCTCTTCCTCGTCCTCATCGTCATCATTGTCATCGTATTCAATCCCCATCTCTCCCGTAATATCCCACCGATCGCCCTTGGCCGCTGCACTAACGTACTTGACAAACTTCAGCGTCCCCTGATCCCGCAGCACAATGCTAAGTCGGTTCCAGCCCGCTGCAGTCGTGAGTAAAATGCCGTCGTCTTCATCGGCATCGGCGGAACGGTAGATCGCTGCGTCTTCCTCGTCGTCTCCATCACCAGCCATGTAGAGTTCGTAACCGCCAACAACTAGGTCGTCGTCTTCATCAGATTTAGGTTTAGCCTTGAGTTCGCTGCTCTTTGCTGATTCGCCGTTCTTGTTCTCGCCATCTTCGTTCTCTTCCTCCTCATCAGACTGCTTCTCCCATCCCGGCGTCGGAGTCAGACCAAGAGTGAACTCCAGTCGCGGCTCCTCGCCGTCGTAGCCACTGGCCAATGTGTAATCCTGTCCGCGACGGAACCGCCGGGCTAGCACATTATGGCTTGTCAATCGGTCAGATCCCGTAACATGCGTTAACCATTTCCGGAACGCCTGCGACGGGAACAGATCGTTCAGCAGTTCTTCGATCGGTGACTTAGATTCCGCCGTCGATTGCTGCTTATACACATATCGCTGCTTATGCGGCGGTCGAGCCACCGCCCACCCCGTCTGTGCATGGATCTCCTCTGCTGACGGGGGAAGACCCTGTTTTTCCTGCTCTTCGATGTATGACCGCACTCGGGCGGAGAACTTGTCTGACAGGAAACGCTCAAGGCTGAGGGATGACTCGTTGTTGAACGTTTCTGACATTTCCTCCGCAATGTCCGGGGTCAGGTACGACGGCTTGATGTACTGTACCAAGAACCCGAGATCCGATTCGGTGAATTCGTTTCCGGTCATTTCTTCGTCATCATCATTGGCCTTGCCTTTACCCTTGCCCTTGTCCCCGTCTGCTGGCTTCTCATTGTACACGACTGTCTGCGGCTGCGGCAGGTCGTAGATGTCACCACGACCCTGCAATTGAGCCAAACTACTGCGTTCCGCAAGCTTCTCCTCCAGACCCGGTTCGAAACCATCCTCGCCCTCTTGGGGAATGTGGAACCAGCCACTAATCGCCATACGCACTCGCTTCTTCGACTTGTCCTCTCCCTCCTTGGGATGGTACACCTCCTCGACATCGTGGAAACTCTCACCGGGTTGCACGGTGAAGAAACTGAGCTGGTTGAACGCTGGTGGGATGCTGAGGCTGTAGTCAGGGCTAGGGATCTTCACGTCCTCCCCATTGACATCCTTCTCCGTCGTGGTAGGGTACAACCGCAGCGCACCACCCCACTCAGCCTGCCATGGGGTATCTGGGTCGGTCAGGTACAGGATATAACTCAGACGACGGCTTCCGATGACATCGTCGTGGCACAGTAGATGACATCCCTCGTTGTAGACGTTAATGGCCATGTCCGTTTTGCGTCCACTCAGCTTGCCTGACCCGGTCACTCCGGAGAGATACTCACGGAATCGCTGCGAGTACATGGCATCGCGGAGTTTCAGCAGCGACGGGAGTCGCGAGAGAGATGCATCGTCCAGTCCATCCAGGTTGGCCAAGTCGCCCGATTGAAAAATCTTGTAAATGTCCGTTTCCTTTTCGGTAAAGTGGAGATGTTCTTGGATTTCGTCGCGGACCGATCGCAGTAAGGAATCATTGAATACGGGGTGAATTACGCCATGTAGGTACCTATACAGCAATAATTAAAAACCGATCTGGTCGACCTGTACAAAGAGACGTACGGCTTTGATTTGGCATAAGCCGTGGTGTAGTTCTGCAGCTCCGCGCTGTCAAACAGACCGTCACGAAAGCGCGTGGCCGCTTCTTCGTTCGACAACGCGCGCTTCTTGGAGTCAGGCTGACCATTGGCGCCCTGCGATTCTCTTCCTGTCTTGCGCTTCATTCTGGGAATGCTTGGAGGGGGGTTGAGGGGTTGAGTTGGGAAGATGGACTTTTCTCTTTTTTTTTCCTGGGCGGTGAGATTCTGCGGGCATCAGCTGATTGTGGGGAATCAGATAAGGATAGAGTCTGATACAATACGGCGTCTTACGGAGTACTCTGTACATACTCTTGATCCCTGATTATATTTGCAATGTCTCAAAATTAGAACAGAAATAAACAAGTCAAAAAAACATTTACCCCTGCATATCATATTCGTGTCGTGCCTGACAGCGCTCTTTGTCATTTGCTGCGCCCCGTCGATAAACCCCAATCCAGCACCTCCATCATCTCACCGATCCTCACTTCCTCTCCTCAAAATGCAATCTCCCCCAAATCAACCACACGAACAACCACAACCACAACCACAACAACATCTACACAACATCCGCAATAGCATTAATCCCAACAGAAATGCCCGCCCAGGAACACCCCCGCCACCCCCATACTCCCCCGTAACACCCGTCTTCGCCCAACTCGCCCCCGTCCAAAACGGCCACTCAGGCCATCCCATCGTCCCTCCACCAGTATCTTCCTCTTCTTCAATATTACCAGCATCAGCAGCGACACTCTCAGCCCTCCCTCCACAAAACCATGGGCAAACCGGATCAGAAACAGGAACGCGACCGGAAGTCGCCACTGAGCCGCCACCCCCTGTACCAATAGGCCCTATTTCCGAAAGTGATAATCCGGATGTTATCGCGTTGCGCTCAGCAATATCTATCTTACAGCTACAGAAACAGCAGAGCTTGAGGGATATGCGGGCGTTGGATCGGATGAAGAAGGCTGCGGCAGCTGATCCGGAGCGGTTTGCGAGGGAGTTGACGAGTGGAAATCTGAAGGCGGAGGATAAGGGGAGTTTCATCAATCTAAACCTCTCTGCTGATGAGGATAAGGATGAGGATGAGGATGAAGAAATGGAGGGTGACAAGGGGGTAGAAGGGCAGGGAGATGTCTTTTCCAATCTTGGAACATTCCCCACGCCGCAGAATGTCGTCCGCATGCCACCGATTAACTGGGCCAAGTATCAGATCATCGGCGAGCCGTTGGATAAAATGCATGCGGAGCAATTACGGCGTCCGTCTGCTGGCGAGCCGTTACGGGAGGGTTTGGCGCAGAGAGCTCCGGAGCATGTGTTGGCTTCGCCGTATCGGCCGTTGGTGGATAAGTTGGAGACTCCTGGGAGAGCGACGGGGGCTGGCAAAGGCAGGAAGTGAGTGAGCGCTAGTGGTGTTTGCTATAAGATAAGAAGGATTTTTGCATTTATGGTGCTTATTAACACGGACCCGGGGTTTTTTGCGATTGACGACCCTGGTTTGGAACCCTTTGACTAGGATAATTTCATGCAGGAATTGAGCCTGCATGAGATTATCCTTGCCAAAGAGTTTCAATTCAGGGTTGTCAATCGTAAAAACTCCTTAATAGGCTCGTCACTCTTGTTCCATGTACATTAGGCGTTATTAGACTAAACAGGTTTATCAAAATACGATCCCAGCGATCCCAACACTCTTCTCTCCTCAAGATACAATGACGACAAAAAACTACTCCAAACCAACCGCCCTCTGAAGCCTCACATTTGCCCTTTTTACCCTCTGCTGCGGCGTCAAAACCCCCTCCATCCAGTTCTCCTCTACCCTCCTATCCTGATTATGCTCCTCCCTCTGCACCAAGCCCACACCACCCTGCTGCCGCGCCTTCTCAGCAATCCTCGCCGCAATCTTCCTCTCTAAAATCCCACGCTCATTCACACCAAGATATCCGATTCTCTGCGTAAGACGCTGTTTCGTTTCCTCGCTGATTTTCTGCGCTGTGATCCAGGTCTGCGCTTTGGGACAATCAGGCTTGGTGTGTTGAAGGATGTAGGAGACTGCATTGCCGGAGAGGGGTGGGTTGGCTGTGCTCTTGTTGGAGGGTTTGGTGGTGGGCGTGGTGGGTTTTGCTGAGGGGGAGGGGATTTGGATTTGGATGGCGGGGATATTTGGGCGAGTCTGACAAACAAATCAGTATAATTCGGCAGCTAATGGACCCAGTTCTAAAGGCTTACCATACTCAGGTTCAGCGTTGTTGGACGAGGTTTGAGGGGGCCATCTGGGACTTGATTGCTTTGGTTGGGTAGGGCAGGCTAGTCCAATGAGCAAGCTTCCTCCCAGAAATCATAAATACTTAATCAATACCATACCATTTGCTGCTGAGACTGTTCATTGGTATCATGACCATCTGCGAACGCGTTCTGCAGATTACTCGCTTTCTCCTTCCAGTAGCCCTTTGTTGACAGACGAGAATCACGGAAGTCTTTCGGCTGAGCTCTCTGGATGGCATTAGAGGTGGACATGGAAGATGCAGCAACAGACGACGGCTTAGGATATTCGATCTGGGTGTCGTTGATGCTTCGTTTCATTTCGTTGTCGGTTTCTATTTGTCTGGACGAAAAGGTTGTTAGATGGAGAGCATGCAGTAAAGAGGTGGGGTTAGTGCTAAGAGGGAATGTACTTGGGGCATTTTGGGATATTGAAATAGAGTAAAGGCATTGTGTAATTTGAAATTGTGGGAGGTCGTTTTGTGTATTGAGTTGGATTCACAGAAGATCTCAGTTTTTGAGTGATTAGGGTTTGGTTGATTTGCAGTGAAGGCATCACAATGAACATTACATATTTCTGCTCTTTCTCTCAACAGTGTTTGTTTATATGATATATATTATTACTAGTTTATAGACAGCAGGTCTATACACCTCACAACTTAGCCTTCCCCTCCCACACCTTAACACTCTTCCACCCCTCCTCCCTCAACCCATCATTCCTCTTCTCAACCTTCTCCCTCCACACCAAATTGGCCGCATCATCATCCAAAATCCCCAACGACTCCCGATACATCTCCTCCTTCATAGTCCCATAAATCCCTGTATCCGCCTTCGTCTGCAACCCCCTCTCCTTAATAAATTTCACCGTCTCCTCCAATCCCCCAACGCCATCAACGATACCGCGCTGCAACGCCTCGGGGCCGGGAAGGCGCTTCGCACCCAGGACAACGTCGCGGAAGGTCGGCGGGGTGAGTTTCTCGCGGAAGATAGTCATCATGGGGGCTTGTAGGGGGACGCCGAAGTCGAGCTCGTTGATGCAGAGGAAGCCGCGGGATGGGTTCTGAATGCGGTAGTCGTGGTACATAGCCAACATGAAGCCGGCGGCGAAGGAGTGGCCGTTCAGCAGGCTGATTGTTGGCATAGGGTAGCTGTCACTTGTCAGTATTCAACCTTGTTATGTGCTGAAGGGGGCGATACGCACGTCAAAAACCGCCGAAACAACTTCCACAACCACTTTTGCGTGAATCCCTCCGTTGTCGTCGCAACTTCCAGATCCAATCCATTACTATAGAACTTCTGAATCCCGCTCGTCGTCACAACCACCCCCTTTGGATACCGGTGCTCGATGATATCTAGCGCAAGCAGCAGCGCGTCAATGAATGCGGGAATCAGTCGATTATCCTTCCCTGATGTGAATGTGAGGATGTAAATGTTCTTGTCCTCGTTTGAGGAGGTCGGGTTAGAGCAGACGATGCTGCCTCCCGTCGCGGAGACGGGGATTGTGAAAAGAGTTACCATCGTTGGCTCCTGGGTTTGTATATGGTAGTTACACTGATTGCGGGCTGTGAGATGGGGTGTTGTAGGGGTTTTGTTGTTTTTGTTATCGGCGCATCGTCGGTTATGCTTGTCTTCCGCGGTATCACATGCTTAGGTCAGTAGCGGAATGCTATAGTTAATTATCGAGAGCGCCGAATGTCATTCATCCTGTGATGTCGATCTATATCAGAAAGTCCGTATTCTAGGTGTATGCTACACATCAAGACCTGCAGTGTGTTGCTGTTGTAGAGAACAAGTCTAATTCACATGACGTCATGTATCTATCAGGTCTTGCCTCTACTCTAACCTGGAGATAGAAATATACATCTATTCACTCTACATACTCTGAATACAAAATTTCAATACCCTCTCAAGCACAGAATGACAACAGAACAACCCCCGAAACAAGCCGCTTACCACCAACCCTCCAACCCCATAACCCACAACCCCTTCGAACAGACCCGCCAAAGAGGCGACCCGGTCCCAATTACCACCAGCACAACCCACCGCACAGCAAACTCCAAACCCTCAAGCGACGAATCCCTTGCGAGCCTAAAAGCAAACCACCAGCGTGAACAAGCCCGCAAACAAGGCGCCCCAGACGTCGATCTTGACTACGGTGTCGAGCAGCAGCCCGCTGAGGGGGCTATCGCGGACGCGGTCGAACATAAGGGCACTCGAAGCAGTACGCGAACGCAGGCGGGTGCGCATTCGGGTCCCGTGGGGAGTGCGTTTGGGCCTGGGTATTCGGGGTTTGGTGAGGATGGGGATAGGGGGCAAGATCAGATGAGGGATTTGGGGAGGAAGAGGGAGGAGCATGATCGGGTGTTGGGGGATCGGATTGGGCAGAGTCCGCCGGAACCTGATGAGGAGTCGGCAGATATCAGACAACAGAAGTTGGAGTTGGATGAGCAATTGAATGTGAAGGATGCAGTTAAAGAGGCAACTGGGGACCCGGTGGTGGGGAGGTAAGCGCTGTCATTTCATGTATTCAGCCTCTTGAGATGTGCAAATTAAAACATAATGTAAATTCCGGGTATACATGCCAAAGAAAACAGAGAAACATCAATCCATATCATCGCCCTCTCCAATCGCCACCTTCCTCAAGGATAGGTCTTTCTTTAGGTCTTGAATCCGCTTGGCCAATTTGTTCTTCAGGATCTGGTTCATCATTTGCTCCCACTTAACAGTTTCCAACCTAATTAAGGCCTCAAGTTCGGTAATCTCTTCGCGCCGCTGCTGGAACTGTCGCTGTTGCTCTAATTGTTCTTCATCCATTTCCTCCTCGGGCACATCTTCCTCGTCGCCGTCGGACATCTCACTCTCATCGCCAGACGATTCTGCCGCTGGTGACTGAGGCTTTGAAACTGTCGGTGTTCCTGCTTCATATACACCCCTATCTTGTGGAGCAGCCGCAGCAGCACCCGTCGTTTCGTCCTCTGCCCCGGCAGCCAGAGCAGCCTCCATCTCGGCAGCGAGGGCATCTTCAAGATCATCCATGCCGCCTGTCATCCCCGGCATAACTTCATCAACCTCGCCTTCTGCATCTTGTTCATCATCGTAGTACTCGTCCTCGTAGTAATCTCCGCTCTGCACCAGTCCCTCGGCCCGGTTGAGTGACGCGCTGTCGACTAATTCATACCGAGGCGGCGCAACCGAGGCTTCGTCTTGTTCGATCAAATCACTCACGGCCTTTTCCACTTGTTCGATTGTCCGTGTGCTGACCCGGTTGCGGAACCGTCGCTTCCTCGCCCAACGTAGCGGAGGGGTCAATCCGTGCGGGTACCGCAGGGTCTTTTCATCTAGCTGTTCAACCTCCGACGGTATCGGATACTCCAAAGCTTCCTTATCATTGGCTACCAGTCCCAGGACTAGAAGCATTTGGCAGATATCCGCAGACTTATACCATCCTCTTTTGTCCCAACTCTTCATGCCTTCGACGATGCATGGCAGATCCACCAGTGCCGCGGCATACTGCTTGTCGCGGATTTTAATAACGGCACGTCGTCCTTCTCGTGTAAGCGGCTTGAAACAGAACTCAGACCGGTCAAACAGCCGCTCCTCGACCGCTTTTCGTAGATAATCACAATCGGGTCCAGGGAGCATGCGTAGAATGAACTGTTCCTCAATAGCGGGATCTACCTCATTATCCGAAGCTTCAGAATCGTATCCAACACCAACTGGGCGGGTAGGGACCAGCCCCTTGTTTTTAATCCGGATCGACTGCACGCCTGGCTTCTTCGACGGGTTCAGCTTCAGTCGTTTCGGCCCTGCGCTGGAGGGGGCTGCGGTGGTAGGCTCGTGAAGGCCAGGTGCTTCTACTGGTCGCTTTTTCGAGGGCTTCTTCTTTGGCTTCTCTTCATCATTATTCTCTTGTGGTTTGCGGGCGATCTTCAAGGTCAGCTTGCGAGGTTCACTGGATGGGGTCGCGGGCGCGGGCGCGGGCGCTTTCTGAGGCTTCGACTTCTCCTCCGTGGCCTTCTTCTTGCCCAGAGTAAGCTTGAGAGAAGGTCGTGGAGTCTCGGACATGGCGACAGCAAGAATATAAAAGACTCTTGCTAGTTAGAAAGTAATCAAGTGATGCGCTTTTGGCGTGGAGAAGGACGAAGAATGACGGGGGCGGAGAGTCGCCGGAAGAAAAGAGATTGTCCGCCTTTCCAACCACCACTATCATTCAGTTGACGTTGACCTTCTATTCATCACCATCTTCTTTCTTTGCATGCGTTCTATCTGTCTAGCACATATTTATCATAACTTTTTCTTCGCAAATACGCGTTTTCTGCTAAATTAAAGCTTCTATCACGCCACGATGTCCACCCCAAACCTCCACAACGCTCTCCTTCGCCCGCCCATCATCCAGATCCTACGCGCCGCTGGTTTCCACGCAACCCGTCCCTCAGTCCTCGACACCCTCACAGACCTCGTCGCAAACTATCTGACGATTCTCTCCTCCTCTGCAGCCGCCCATGCCGCGAACGCCCACCCCGGCGACCCGATCCCAGTCCTCGAAGACATTTATCAAGCATTACAAGACACAGGCGCATTACGCCCCCAGTTACGAGACTGGGAAGAAGACTGGCAAGAAGAGGAGGATACACGTGGACTGGACGCATTCCTGAGTTGGTTCTCGGGTCCGACGAATCGTGAAATTCGACGTATTGCAGGTTTCGTGCCCAGCGAGGGCGATATGATTGATACGGATTCGCTTGAGAAGGAGGACTTTTTGACGGCGTTGAAGAAAAAGCATAGTAAGACGGGTGAGGAATCAAGGTATGCGGGGACTGTGCTGGGGAAGAGTGCTGAGGAGCATCCTATTGTCATCGAGGGTGGTGTCCCTAGTATCCGGGAATGGAGTCAGCAGGCCCGTTCAAGGACGCCGGGGTACAAGGCTGCGAGTGATATCTCCGCTGTGAGCAGTGCTCCTAGTAATTTGTCCGAAGCTGAGAGGATGGATGTATGAGAAGCGATGTGAGGACTTTGAAATTTTGTCAAGACGACATTCTCGGCAGGCGCGTTCAGGAAATCGACAAACAAGCGGATCCCGAAAATACCCATTCGATTCGATCTACGTTCTAGGCTCTTCCAGTCGTTCTGCTTGTACGAGTCACCGTCAGCCCAACTACGGACTATTTCCCCGGACTGGCCAACGGATCCGTTATGTGCAGGGGACTCCCGGTGACTAAATGGCCGAGTCGAGAGCATGGGGGACGGTGTGACTACACCACGGAATAGATACGGACTGGACAGAACGGCGGAAGCACGTCAATGCCCGGGGATTTATCTACAGAAGGACTTAATCATGTCCAGTCTGTATCTACCTCTACGACCATAGACGAGCCACGAACACAGCAATACATAGATTAATCATCGCGTAAACCCTTCATAGTAGTCAACAGTAGCTGAAAAATACTCATATCCTGGTATCTTCTTGGCTGCGGTGACATCAGCCCAACCATCCCCATCCAACTTCCTCCTCCACCATCAACCACCATGGTCTACGCCTTCACCCTGCCAACAACCTCACACCTTTCCATCCAAACATTCCTCTCCTCCAGCACCCATCCCTCCCTACCACAAGCTGCCTCAACAGCCCGTCATGCGCTCCGCGTCGCTCTCAAAGCGCATAAACGCTTACCCCGCGGCTCGCAACAAGACGCCCACTTGACCACTGTCCTCAACGCCTTGAACGATTACCTGCCATACCTCCTTGCTATTTCGGATGGATTGAACGGGATCACTATTGGAAATAATACAGAGGAGGTTGAGATCACTCTCCACAGCGAGCTCGAGTCCGAATGGCGCGCCACACTGTCCTCCACTACACCCTCGCTGCCCATCAAGGGCAAAGGCACAAGTGCCGACCGTGTCCGGGGGCGCGGGATTGATTTCGAAATCGCATTTACGCTAACGACGCTGGGATATGTACTGAGTAACATGGCGCACTCGACAGTCGTCCGGACGCTATACGCCTCGAAGACCCCAACACTCGAGCAACGCACTGCATCCGTCCAAACAGCTACCAAATACCTACTACAAGCTAGCACAGTGCATACCTTTCTTTCCATATCTTCTTCGCCGTCTGGAACAGCGCCGATTAGCGTACCGGATCTCGATCCCGCAACGCAATCAGCTCTTTCCTCCCTCGCCTTAGCAGAGGCTACCCTCCTAGCTGTGCTGAAGGACGATTCCTATGTCGCGACTTGTATCCAGTCGCGCAATCCCAATGATAAGGATTGGATGGTGCGCGCGGCTGAGATCCCCAAAGTCCGCGCAATGCTCTTTGCACGATTATGTGTCCGCGCCGCCGAGTACGCGGAGCAGGCGACTGCCGGGCTAGGTATGGTGGGAGCACAAGGGAAAGGTGGGGTTGAGGATGATCTGGTCAAGTATGCGCGCGTGCTGGGCCGTGTGGCCCGGGCGAGAGCTTGTCGGTTCTTTGGGGTCGATGCGGAGTTAGCTGGGAAAGTTGGGGAAGGAATAGCTTGGTTGCGAGCGGCGAAGAGTGCTCTAGGTCTAAGAATTGGTCCACCGAGTGTAATGGAGGGTTCTACGAAGCGTGAGCGAGGGTTCTCCAGATTGAAGCGGGAATGGTCGGAACGGAGGGAGGAGCGGAAGATGGAGAAGGATGCTGGGAGTCGGGATAGGGGAGAGAAGAGTGAGCTTGATCCCGGCGATAATGCTGGAAGAGAGGAAGAGGGACGAGTTATTGAGATGTTGGAAACGAAGTGGGTGAGGATGAATGACACAGTATGTTTCCCTTCAGTTCCTTCAATTCTGATAAAAACTTAACGTTATCCAGATCAACACGCAATTAGTCCCCCAATCGACAGATCTTCTAAAGAACTTACCCTCTGGCCGAGATATCCATTCTCCCCCCGGTCCTTACAAGCTTCCGGCATTAGATGAAGAGGAACTTGTGCGGATGCGTGCTCCGCCGGGAGATGATGATATAGGACCAGGAAGCGATTTGGATGACAGTGACGAGGAGCCAGCTGCTGATGTGAGGGATACAGATAAACGTGCTGAGCATGAGAGTGCTTATTATTGATACCCATGTGTTGTATCTACTGCTACACAACGATCTGGCTGACGTCCATAATTCTTGTTTGGTTAGAGCACGAAAAGACCATATTTGAACTTGTCACGTCAATAAAGCCCTGAGTTTCAGTAACATATGTACAGTACAAGTACACCATTCGCCCTCATTCTCAAATCTTCCTAGACTCCTCACGCACACCTCAGCACGAGATCGCATGCACCCGATAACCATCGATCGCCCGATATAGTCGTCGCAAAAGCGGTTCTCAATTGATATGAATCCGGTCCATGAATTCGAAAAGCTAAATAACCCGACAAAATACCGTAAAACAGATAAGACGTAGAGGAGGAATCCATTTTTTCATTCAATAAAACATAGAAAAAAAGCCCGCTTATTTCTCCGTGAAATAGTTCTTCTCCTGTCCTAGGTAACCCCTAATCTTGCGCTCGCCGATGAGCTCAAAATATTTTTCTGTGCCGTTAGCATTCCTCCATTTACGCACACTAATTCCTTTGTCTGTCCCCGTCCAACACAACACGGGACACTGGGAAAAGGAAAGAAACTCACCCCTCAAAACACCGCACTTCTCCAAGTGATTCACCCCCTCACGAGAATAGCACTTCCCCAATTCCTCTCCGACAAGACGCGACATCATGCTGCGCACCCATTGCTCCCGGATAACCGCGTCACGGGCATTGTGGACGGCAACGTTATCATCGTAGTCGACGCCGTCGTACGTCGGCGGGACGGTGGGCTTCTTGGCCTTGAAGGCTTCGGATTCGAGGGTTGGCATTTTGGTTTTTGTTCTTTCCGGATCGGCTGAGAAGAGAGGGTGAGCTGGAGATTCCGTTTCGTTTCGGGGTTCAGGGAAACTCACTACCTGGGCTTCGGACGGAGTTGGATGAGGTCCTGATGGGTGCCGGCGGAGGTGAAATGCGCAATTGCTTTTGTTTGATTGGTTGTTACCTGGGGCGGTGAGCGGGATTTGTACAATTTGTGTATTTAGCTTAGTCATTTTTATGCGCGTATTACTTTCCGGAAATGGTAACTCTAGGCCCTACCTACAATGAGCGAGAAATTAACCGGGATCCTTGTTATTGCCACTGTAGACACCCTAATGATACAGGGATATATACAGGATTAAGGTATGAATAAGGGACGCCATCCCCGCTGTCAATTTGACAGAAGCGGTCCATAAAGATATCGTCAATCGTAAATCGTACCCAGCGACAGCTCAAATTGACGGCCATGGCGTCGCGACGGCTTTTTGATGGTTTTCCTGCTCTCCGCCGTGCTTGAATAACTTGCGGAAGAAACCCTTTATGCTATTCATACAGCGCTTCTGAACTTGGAGGTTGAGTTCCTTGGCCACTGAATCGTTTCATCTCGCTCAAGCAATCACGATCAAACTGACATCCTGCCATATTAACCACAAAATCATGGTCATCCTCTTGGTAATGGATTTTGGGGTCCTCACCATCGCCGCAAGCACCAGGAGGAAACGAATTGATAAACCGCTGAGGTAGGAAGGCAACGCCGTTACGGATCCATGGGTGCTTTTCGTAAAGATATTCCAACGCATCCTGCTCATTGTGCTCCCATTCTGTGTGTTTTTGCTCGTATACAACAGGATCCCACCAGACGTCTAGCAAGCGGCCTGCCCACGCGGAACGTCGAATAAAGAAGGACCCGAGGTTGAACCCTCCACAGTCCTGGGACAATATCAAATCGGCTGCGGGTTTCTTGACTGGCGGATATGAGAATGGGGGAGGGCCGATATTAGCTGGATTATAGGTACTGATGTCGGTGTATGAGATAGCATCCAGCCGGCTGAATATGTGATCTTGCAACGAATACGAGGACTCCATAATCCATGTGTTTAGGTCTAGCCACCAGAACCTAGGGCGCATTAGCAATGAATACAGGGTCGAGAGGGAAATACTGACCACTCCGCATCCGGATATTTGTCCATAGCATTGCGAATAAGATCAGCCTTTTCCCAGCCCTCTCGCCATTCGTGCGAATAGCGCTTTTGGGCCATCATGTTGACAACCTCCAACTCATACCCCCATCGCTTGGCATATTGCTGTTTGTTCCAGATACTGTTGCGCTCGATCGACCACTCGCGTGCACCCTTCAACGCCATCACTCCACCCTCAGTATTTGATCCAACGATCACGACAAATTTAGGTCCTCCGCCCAGAAGTGACCGCCGATAGCTGTCAGCCACGGCTAGAGCATTCATCAGTCACGCGAAACCAAAAGCGACACAGCTAGGTAGCACTCACAAGTCCAAAAGAACAAGAGCCCTATAGTTCCCAGAATCAACAGCGTTGTCAACACCCGTAACGTCCTCCTCCGCAGCAATTTCCTAAGAAACCCAAGCGGCTGCCGACCCAACCTACGCGAACTGCCCTTATACTTCCCACGCCCAACATCGTCCTTATCCAAATAAAATCCCTCACTCTCCAACTTCTCCGTCTGAAAAGTGGCAAGGATGGGACATCTTTGCTATTCTTCAACCGCGAAAAGAAGAAGCCGTTGTTCCGTCGTACTTCGTCGCTTTTTGCTCTGGCTGTTTCCCAGGATATTCCACTGGACCCTACCGAACTTGGTGTGGAGATACCGCTATTCGGCGAGGAAGTGTCGCTTTGAGAGGCTAGAGATGTCAGACTGGGAGTTGACCAGCCGGCTTTGGAACGTGCAGGGGAGGGTGAGCGTGAGCGGGACATGACGGATGGTTGGCCGTCGCGGGAAGCGTAAAGGATCGTTGGTAGAAATATTATAACAAGCACGAATGGTATAATGATTAGAAATAGGCTCCAAAAACGAATGTCGGCAGTTAGGTATAAGGAGCGTGAATGCAAATGTACATGGTGAGGAAGGCTGGTGATATATATCAGAGCAAGATGTAACAGTCGATTACCGAAAAGGAAAGAACGATGCACAACTTATGCATGAAACAAGCGACAAACATTAATACCCGGCGAATTACACTGAAGTCACCAATTTAAGTAAAGAACCGTGGTACAATAATAAAAAGGGTTGAAACTGCCATACAGTTACATGAAGCACTAGGCCCTAAATGCGACCTGAATACCGTCCGCATGGTGTGGGGATTGATGAAATAGTATTAATCAAACCACCTGCAGATTGTTATTTACCACCTCGAATCCCAAACTATGTACTTTTTTCTAAGGATATGTATGCAGTCATCACTCATAACTCGATCCAGTTTCAGACGTGGCACATCCAAACAGGAGAGAATGTAAATACAAAAAACCATGCTCAAAATGAGTAGAGACAGAACGGGATACATCAATCAAGAATCAGTCGTAAGATAAGTCCTCTATGCATGGCTAATCTCAAATTTATTTTTTCAAGTTGTTTTTCTTCTGCACTGGTTGACGATTGACGCCCGTATCCTCTTTCGACTTCAGGATTTTGCGGACGGTGAAACCTTTCTCGTGGTCTGGTCGTGGACGGGCACTATCGCCATGGTAAAACTCACATTGGAGTTTGAGAAACTTGTTGCGTTGTTTGTAAACGGTAATAATATCTCCAGTGTATAGCTTTCCAAACTGAAGCCCTGGGCGTCCATTCTCATCACCGCGCCGTAATTCCGTGTCATTGACCCAAATACAGTTGCGTGTCTTCGTAGAAAGAATCGCCATTACTCCAGGAATGGTCATCCAGTCATCCCCGGCCGCGATCCGTGCTTCAATGGCTGGAGTCCAGAATGTCACTTCCAAGGCATAGGCAGGAATGCGGGTGTCCAAAGGGTCTGTATAGCAAACGGTTGCCAGCGGGCCACGTCCCCAAGATGTCATTCGAGTTTCCAAACGGATAGTAATGTCGAGAATAGAGCCCGGAACGCTTGTCAGCTTTCCCAGCAAAGGCCGATTTTTGCGAGACTGTAGAGGGGGGATGGTTCGGGGAATACTAAGCTCAGGGGGGATACAATCGAGCTGGGAATGGGAATTCGGGGCTGAAGGAATGGGGATTTCTTTTCCGGTTCGAGCATCAAGTGTGACAGCCAGTTCATCATCAACTGCTGCCATAGCGGCTGACGTAGTAGGTGATTTGGTAGATGACTTGCTGTGACTTTCGATACTTGCTGGTTTGCTCCTGTTGCTGGAACTATTGCTGGCGCTGTCGGGAAGGGGGAGTTCGATTCGGCGACTAAATTTCGAGGCTTTGGGGGTTGATTGGCTGCGACTCACTCGACCTGCGGTTGGGACGTTCCCATTTGTCGGGGTCTCGTGCTTGTCAGCTGGACTGGTTTGTTTCGTTGGTGTTTCGACTCCCGTGAATATGGCTGGCTGGGACGAGTTCATCTTCAACTGCCGAACTTGGTTCTCAGCACCCATCAAACTTGGGGCAGAACCGCCAAAAGGGAATTCGGGAAGGGATATGATAGAGTTCAGGCTGCTGGCGTCGCTAATCATCGACTCACCGGCTGAGGAATAGAAATCACGAACATTATAGTCGTCGCCATCGTAGGCTTCCATACTGGCACCCACACCCAATGCGTGCGAGCTGGGAAGAGCAGCCGGGGTTATTTCGCCAAACAAACGCTTCGGTGTATTCTCCGGACCAGGTCGGATATGATTCGGGGTTTCTAGGGCTGGGAGCGATGGATAGTGAATATCTGCCGGGGGATTATCAATACGAGGTCGTTTTGACTGGGTCAGCTGGTTGCCCTCAGCTGAATCGGGTTCCTCCGCATCCTCATCAAGTGAGAGTTGAGATGCGTTCAGTTCTCCTTCAATATCCTCGCCAATGTCTGACAGAGCTCCTCCAAAGTCGTCAGGCTGAATGTCGTCGTCTTCGTATTCATCGACATCTTCAACATTGGCAATCCATGGGTGTTGAAAGCATTCTCGCTCATTGGGCCGGGAGTGCGGGTCACGATTCAGGAGTCGGGAAACGAAATCGATACCAGCTTCTGAAATGCCCGCTTGGCGAAGGCGATCATAGTCTGGGTCAGTTGTCATGATAACCCGTAGCATCTTGGCGCCTCTATCTTCAGCTGAGCCCATATACGGAGGAACGCCAGCCAGGATATGATAGAGGACAGCACCAAAGGACCATATATCTACGGATTGGTCATACGGTGTCGTTTTGGGCGGCCTATTTCAGTCAGCGTGGACATTTTGAAGCAACGAAGTAGATAGTCCAAAGTAACTTACGGATCACCAAACCGACGCCTCTTCCTAACTTCACCAGCGCGATAGGTTGCGTACTCTGGATACACCTCGGGCGCGCAATACAGAAGTGTGCCGCAAAAGGTCTTGAGAAACGATTCTTCTTGCACCACTTTCGAAAGCCCGAAGTCTGAGAGCTTCACTCTGAAAGGCTCGAATGATGAGATGAGGATGTTATCTGGTTTGATATCTCGATGGGTAATTCTGCGATTATGGAGATACTTCAACGCATGTAAGATCTGCCGAGTCATCTGCTGCACCACTGGTTCGGAAATTGTCCTGCAATTATGAAGGTAGGTAGACAACTCTCCACAGGGCACATACTCCATGATGATGTAAATCCATCTGTCGTGCTCATGATAATCAACATATTGCACGATGTTGGGATGCTTGAGATCTCGCATAATCCTCATTTCGTTGTCGACCTTCTGGGCACCGGTTTTCAATAGACGAGTCTTCTCGAGCTCTTTAGCTGCGAAGACTACGCCATGTTGTTTCGTCGCGAGCTTGTAAACTGTTGCGAAAGCACCTTTGCCGATTTGTCCCGTTATATTGTACTTTGCACCTCCTGTCCAATGCATTCCAAAGGTCTGTGCGACCGCCCACTGCAGAGGCTGTGAGCCTTGGCGAGTGACGGGTTGAGCAACTCCCGTTTGATGCTTCTGTACCCGCTCAAGATACCGGACTATGTTCTCTGTATACTGCATCGCAAAGGTATCTCGGGATGGCATCCGAACAATAAACCTGACTTCATCAGAAGCTTGGGGGCCATGCACCACCTGGATGACGGAGCCGTTGGTGAGCATTCGACTGTTGACCTCATTTTTGCGGATACGATTATTGTCTACCAAGGTGCCGTTCGTGGAGGTATCTTCAAGCATTAGAATGCCATCGTTTGTGAGATAAATCCGGAAGTGACAATTGGAGATCCGCTTTGAGCTATCATCAGCTGATAGAAGAATGTCGCATCGTGAGGGATTGCGACCAAAGCAAAAGCCAGAGCCTAGGTCACGGACGTTCGACGAGAGTCGCAAAGCGATATCTAGTGCTGCAGTATCGGCAGATTCATATGCCAGCTTTTCCCTTTGCAAAATGTGGTCGGGGCGGATATTAGCAGTTGCAGCCACTGCATCATGGGCATAGAGCGAGTTGGGGTGTAGAATGCAGATGACATCCGACACATCATCTCCTAGCAGACCAGAATTGTTGTGGCCCAGGCGGCGTGGATCCGTGCATGGCTGGGTGGCTTCTTGCGTTGCTTCCATGGGGGCGAATGAGAGATAGACGAATAGAAAGATAAAGAAAGGGAGAAAGGAGCGACTAGAGGCAAGAAACAGAGCTAGGGTATCTCCGCTGACAACTGATGGCTTTTGCAGGATCAATGCAATCAATGAGAGTCTACAGACTACAGCTCGTTCCCATGCATTAACAAACTGATAACCAAAAGGATATTTGGACTGGATTCCACTCACTCAACAGTAGCCTGGATTATCCAAAACAAAAGAGATTGTACACAAATCCACTCGTACCAAAACCGTAGAGAGGGCGACAAAGAGAGGTTCGACACTGGTATGCGAATAACAATAATAAGTCGAGAAGCGAAATGGAAGAGGCGCTAAGTTGCAGCAAAAAGACTGTAAGGTTATCTATGCACCAAAGACCCTGCTGCTCAGTATGATCTCGAGCCGAAGTACTGCGTCGCCTAACGAGAAATCCCGTAGATTGGTATGTGCTTCGCAATGTAGGAGACGTAAAATAGATCGCGAAAGTTTTCTGATGGTGCGCGAGTCCCGTTGGCAGATCAAAGATTGAGAGCTGGATAACGAGGCTGCTTGTCGCAACCTGATCTGCTGGCAGAAGACTCAGTTTGGATTGCGAGTGCAGTCGATTTGGAACATTGAGATAAGAGGTGGTGAAGGGAGGACACAAGAAGCGACAGGAAGGAGGGGCAACGATCGACAATCCTGTAGAGATGATGGAAGGGTCAATTATCAATTTCCAAACAATCCATACAAGGGAGGATGGATAGATCAACTCACGCAATAGAACAGGTCCGTGTTGCCCATCCACAGGATAAACAGACAAAGAAGTGGTTCCAGTATAGATTGATATGGCTAAAGGAAGTCGACAATGACGCGATGCTGTCTGTCTGCCTGCCCGCGTATCTGTCGAGGGTCGTCGTCCAAGAAACAAGCAGTCGGTTTAGTTGAAGCTTCCGCTTTATTTTGAGTGGCGGACTCAGGCATCCACATGGCACCTGACGTATGGCTTCCTGAGGCCCCAACAACCCCGGCCAATCAAACTGCATTATCATTCAAGGACTGCGATATACTTTAAGGTACAGTGCAGAGTGCAGAGTTACAGTATGACGATAACAATCTATTGTGGTACAGGGAATACAATTTTCGAGTCAATACTACAATCATCTAGTACCGTATGGCTTACTTTGGTTGTTGCTGCGTTGGTATTGCCCACTCAGTGCGACATCGAACACCTGCTCCAGCTTCGCAATAGCCTCGTCGGACACCTCTGTGAGCTGGTTAGAATGAATATGTGTTGCTGAGAGTCGAGGGTACTTACGATAGTGGACGACCACACGCCCCCCAGAAAGCTTCAAGCCCTTTTTCTTCCCGATTTCTGACAGGTCATTGGGCCCTACTCCCGAAGCTTCCAAATCCAACCATACCATGTTGGTATGCACGGGGTGCAGCAGCTTTCCTCCACGATTAGTCCATAATTCAGCTACTCTTCTGGCCTTGACATGCGAACCCTGAAGTTTGCCCTCTTTACCATGTGGATCCGGACCAAAGGTCTCTTCAATAGCCACCCGGGCAGCTGCAGCAATCACACCGGCCTGCCGGGTACCACCGCCAATTGATTTACGAAACCATCGGGCCTTCTTGATAAAATTCTTGGACCCGACAATTATGCTACCAATCGGAGCTCCTAAACCTTTGGAGAAGCAAAGGCTCACGCTGTCACAGATGCTAGTGTAATCATCCAGGCTACCCGCACCAGAAATCACGGCTTCCCAAAGCCTCGCACCATCAAGGTGTACTTTGATGTTGTTCGCATGAGCCCAGTCCGCAATGCGACGAGCTTCTTCAAGAGGCATGACCATGCCATCCAGAGTATTCTCCAAGCTGATCAGTCTCGTAGGACAATAGTGGTCGTCATCCTCGATCACTGCATGGCGTTGAACATCTTCCAGCGTGAGGTGGATGCCATTCTTCGGAATAACAGGCTGGACCGTCGCTCCTGTCCATGTGCTAACACCTCCTGCCTCGTAGCAGAGAATATGAGAGCGTTGATCGCAAAGAACCGAGTATGGAGGCTGTACCAAGTGCGTCCGAATTGCGACTTGGTTGCCCATAGTGCCGGACATGACCAGTAGCGAGCTCTCATGATTCGTCCGCTCTGCCACATAGTCTTGCAGGGAATTTGTCACCGGGTCTTCATTGAAGACATCGTCGAGTAGGGTGGTCTGGCAGATCGCGTCAAGCATTGAGAGAGTAGGTTTTGTCATGGTATCGCCTAAGGTTCCCTGTTGCTTTAGTGACATGCTCAGTACATGGAAGCACAGTGGAACTCACTTCTCATGTCAAACTCTGCAGCGCCAGCGCCATTCCAATGATTAAGCTTGCCATTGGCGCCATTAGAGGCTCTTGATACACTTGCCATGGTGATTCTCTGCCCGTATCCACCTCTATTCCAAGGAACCACCGGTTGAGACGCTGGTAGTGGACGGGAGAGACGCCGTACCGCTTGTCTCATGAGCGGCCAATTATGCGGGGTAACAAAAGGGACAAGAATAAGGTAAGCTCGAGATAAGCAATTCGATGCAAGTGACTATTTGAGACCATGTGACTTTCTAAATCAAAAGCAACCGCCAATGCGGGGTGTACGGTAAGTAATAAATACAGAGTGAGTTAATTAAACGCACCATAGCACCGGGCCCGTTACCATACCATATCATGATGCTCCTAATGTCCGTCACTCGTGACCGCCTAACCGCTTTAGACCAATGACGTAGCCACTCTCCTATCAGTCACCGCAAAAGGCTTAGCGCGACCCGCCAGCGTGTCTGTTAGGCTGCTGAGTCAGCAGTCGAGATCCCTCTGGACTTTTTGCGGGCGTTCTGGGAGTTGCGCGGCAACTTCTTCATCAACCGCCGGCAGGTGTGGCGCACTGCAGGGAATGTCGTTACTATAATAAATCGCTGTTTAATCACAATGGATCTCTCGAGACTCACGCGGCCGGCCATTCTGTGCCAGTGTTCTCGATGCTCGAGTTCGCTGGCTGCGCTTGAAAATGACTGGGCGAAACTATCAAATTCCTACTCCCTTGTTGCGGGATGGCTGAGCGTCGATCTCCATCGGATTTCGATTTCGTCGGAGAAAAAGCAGGTGCCGCAGTCGTCAGATATGAACTTGTTACGGGGTCGCATCCTTCAGGAGATCTCATGCAAGCTCTGTCAGCAGAAATTAGGTGTCCTATGTACGCTGGAAAACGGGTAAGTGCAAGGGGATGGAAGGGACGAAACAATTGATGCGCACATGAAAGTGGCTAATAATATGCAGTCCTAATATCTTCTGGAAGCTCGCGAAAGTGGCATTTAGGGAGATTGTGACGATGCGGACGGTCGAACCCATATTCAAAGAAGGAGCGCTCGAACGCATTCTGAATTCGACGACGAGAGAAGGACGACGAGATCGGACATCCATCCAGCCGGGTGCTCTGGTACCTGCTAGCTCGACAGAAGTGGAAGGATATGACATGACTGTATCGCGACAGATCCAACATCAGGGCTTCAGCATCGATCACATCTCGAGTTCCGTCAATAATCTGCATGATACCATGTCAGAGTTAAAGCAGGCTTTCACCGCGCTTCGAATCGAGTTGAATGGTCCTGGTCGGCTTTCCCTTGAGACAGGGAACCCTCAGAGCAGCGATTACGATATGATAACGACGGTTCTAAGGGAACTCAAGTCGAAATCCGAGGAGATTGAAAAACTGAAACTGGAAATGGAGGCAGTCAAATTGAAAAACCGGTATTTGGAAGATCAAGCAGCGAAGCAGTCTTTACCGATGGCGGACATCGGAGGGGCACTCCCGCAAGTCCATAGTCCAAGTATCCTGCATGGTAGCAGAAAACGCCCATGGCCAGATTCGTTTCCAAGTGGACGCACAGAGCCTATTGCGGACTCTTTCGACGATGAAGGAGATATCTTCGATGGTTTCTCCGCGGTGGACACGCCGATGCAGTCGATGAAGATCCCATTAAAGGACCCCGAAGAAGTTCGCAGCATATATGCACAATCAACACCAGGATCACCAAGGCTTAGCGTTGAAGTCCATCAACAACAGCAACACACTCCAACAGTCGATAATATGATAGATCCAGGGCGCGATAGCAGCGGGCAGCAACATGCTATCGTTAAGCGCCCGCGCATTTCTCAGCCAGTGGATAAAACTCCCTCTAGCGGCGGGCCTGGAAAAAGAGGACCAGGGCGGCCACGGAAATCAATCTCTCAAACCACGAAACCTGACCTCACAACGCCTAAACCGTTAGCACCCAGGCAGGCACCATCAAATGAGCAAACCGTTAACGTTAGCGGTGGCTCGCAGAAAGAGCGCTCGCACTGGGACGGCAGTCCCGATGAAGAACAATCTGCAACGAAACGCGGACCAGGTCGGCCACGGGGCACCCGTAGCCGCTCAATAGCACCACCAGTCCCGCCAGCAAACAGTCGCAAGAGTCGACATTCAGACACAAACGGGAACCATCCGGAACATGTCCCGCCACCGTCGACCGTCCAAATCAAAGGGCAGGAATCCCTGATTATTAAAGGAGAAGGCATGCGACTCCCAGATTCTGAAAAAGAGAACCCGCCTCAGAACACGGAAGAGGCGGAGAAACGAAAGGCGCGAGATTATATGGCGCGGATGGCAATGCAACGGGAAGAAGCGATGGAGACGGAGGAGGCCCGATAAGATTGAAATGAAATTGCCCTTCTATAATTGTATTATTTAGTTATAATTTCTTGGTTCCACCCCTTTGCTTGTATTATTGTCTTGGTTCTGTTGTTGTTTCGTGAGGGTTGTACGAGTACGACAAAAGTTTGGCCATTTTATATGTACGGATTGGAGTTATAGGTATAGATACGTATAGGTGGTAGCTAGCTAAACTAGATCTAATTGATCAATTCTACCGATATAGATAATCAAGTTGAAAAAGGCTATAGATCATCATGGTATCTACCCAAAACCATACATGCATCGTGACATTTGCAAAGAAATAAATCACTTCACACACATAAACCCACAGCCCGCTCTGGCCCGGTCACAAGCCTTCTTCAATGCTTGTTCCTCTGTATCTGTCCACTTAACACTCAACTCATCCCACGGTTTCCGCGAGTTGTACTCCTGACGAAAAGTCTTGTGCATGGCCTGTAAGCGGCTAACGTCTCGGGGATCGCCGGTTCCAGAGTAGACCATGAAAAGCGTGCATGGGGGCAGGGAGTCGTAGATACGGGAGATGTTGGAGACGGTTTGGGAGACGGTGTCGGAGAGTTTGGGTTCAGCGGGTGTTGAATCGGCGGATGTGGTTGGTGTTGTTTCTTGGGGGGGAGGTTTTAAGGATGTGGATTCGTTTGCGTTGTTCGGGTCTGGGGCGCGGTTGCACCATCCACGGAGAAGTTCGAGTTCACGGAGGCGGGCCCAGGTGAAGTCGACTCCACCTAGCGGGATAGAAGGATTGTTTTCGTCGCCGTTAACAACGGACGAAACGCCCTTCACGATTTCATCGTCGTCACTGCACCCAATGGCGGCGTTTGCATGCGCGCCGAATCCACGCTCGGGATTGCCCCAATCAACAACAGCACCTGTACGGCCTTCTTGCTGTTCGCTGTCAGATGATGGTTTCCCGGAGCGCGGAGAGCGCGCGAGACGGCGGAAGATGCTCTCCGATGAGGCATCGCTGGTGCCCCAGCGCTCGCCCTTTTCGCATTTCAGCTTGACGAGGTCGAGCACGGCGATCGCGTCTTCGATCGAGTCGTGGCCTGCTTGGCCCTTCTGGATCTCTTTGCCGAGGTATTTCTGTGTGAGCCACTTAAGGCTGCATTTAAGCGGCGGCCCGCGCGGGTGTGGGTAAATGATGGTGGTATCCACAATGAATGGGTGGGTGAGTTTTAATGCGTTCATGTCGGAATCGAGCGAGTGCCCAACCAATACAGTGCGAGGGGTGAGTATGGAGAGGAGCTTTTGTTGGATATCAGCGAGGGTCGTCGTGACAGGGTCCAATTTTTCCTTCGTAATGCCCGAGAATCTGGTGAGGTAGTCGATTATGGGCCGTTCCGGCTTTACAAACTCGTCCAGCACTGCTTCGCCGTCCCAGCGGACTAAGCTGATGCGGGCAAGTTCCGACTTGCCGCCTTCTGTGATGCACATTTCGCAGTCCATGGCCAGCACGTCGTGGCCTGCCGTCATGCTACCCTGTTGGATCTCCGTATCGAGTATCTTTGCAGCTTCCAGGCTCGGAACATGGGTGTCAACCCATCCATCATCGGTCGAGGTGCTAGTGCGCTTCCTGAGCTCTTTATTGGCGTACTTTTCCTGGTCCGTAGGTAGGAGAGCTGGGTGTAAGACATAGTCGTTCTCTTGCAAATCATTCTTGGAGCTGATGAAAGTGGTGATTGGAGTCCGCTTCGGCACAAACTTATCTGCTCTGGCTGGTTTAGGGCCTTTCCCGCTTTCCTTGGTTTTGGGGAGAGAGGACATAAGGACCGCCTGAAGTGGAGAGTGGACCTTGTTGTACTTGGGGTCACCAGGCGTCTTCACAGGCCAGACATGGGGAAACATGTCTGCCAGAGGCTGCAATGGCTCTGCAAGGTTCTCGCGCGAGAGCGAGCGAGGACTGTAGCGGTTTGACCGATCTTCCGGAGGAAGTCCCTGTTTCCACCTTTGGAAATCCTCCTTTCTGACGTCCTCCGGGTTCTCCTGCGTGTCGTCTACCTCAGGACCAGCCTCCTTGGCATGCGAATCCAATGATATTGTCCCATCAAACATCCCAGTCTCCAACCCCGGAACCATCAACACGACAATCTTCCGAACATGCCCTGGGTATTTGATCGATATCCACTGCGGCGCGACACCGTCCGCGAAACAATAGAGGAGCAGACTCTGCAAATCCGCAATGCGAATCGACGATGACAGTCTACCCTCCACGTACGTGAGAACAGGGTATTTGACCTTTTCACCGTCTACCCGCTTCTGCTTCTTGACCTGTTTGTCGGATTCGCCGCTGTCGCCGTTTTGCGACTTTCTTGACTCTTCCGGCGCGCCGTCCCTGGGTTCTACATCGGCATTCTGGAGTTGCGTCAATAACTGCGCCACCCCGAAGCCATTGCTAGCTCCAGAAGTATTCTTGACTGGGTCATCGTCGTCCGAATACTTTCGTTTTCCCATTGCACCGGGGATCGGGAATCGTCAATCGCGCGTCTGGGAAAAACCGACGAATAGAAAAATAAATCGTATAAAGCGTAAAAATAGTTGCTTCTTTTCTTCGCGCAAAACGAGCGACCTCCTGTTTAGGGCGTAATTGGAGGAATTGCTTTTGCTTCTCTGCTATGACAGTTAACTGACTGACTTTTGCGGCACGTGATGATAGCGGTATTGATAACAGACAGCATTATCGTTTCGCAGGCAATACCCCGGATAGAACGAGCAAAAAGAATAGGGCAGGTAATAATAAGCCTTCTAATCCAATCTCAGAGCCGTAACTTATGAATAACTCTGAATTAATAAGTGTCTATCTTACATTCGGTGCCTTTTCCCATGTCAGCGGGTGTGGCGCGGATCATTAGAACCTCCGAGATCCATCTCCGGAGCGAAACCGGGCGAAACAGTACAAGTACGGTAATTACGGAAACGATCTGATAAGCCAAAATTCGCCATCGGCCCATCAACCTTTCTTCTGTCCCTCTTCGTGCTTGCTTTTCCTTCGGGCACTGGTCTGACATACAGTATTTTCTCTCTCTCTGTCTCTTATTTATTGCCTTAATCCCTCTCTCACCTACAAGGCTAGCCACTCTTTTTTTTCTTTACCCCAATAGTCCAGTCACTGCCCCTCTATCAGATAACCCCTCCGATTGCGGTGCATTGCACAAAATTCACCACCATGTCGACCGTCCAAGAAGTCACAGACGAGGCCGTCTTCGTCTCGCACATCTCCTCCATTCCCCCATCTTGCCTGCTCGTGCTCTACTTCCACGCGCCATGGGCCGCGCCATGCGCCCAGATGCACACCGTCCTCTCCACCCTCGCGTCCCAATATCCCGTCACTACCCCGCCCTCAGTCTCCTTCATTAGCCTCAACGCCGAAGAACTCCCCGACATATCAGAGGACTACGACGTCACCGCCGTGCCCTTCGTCGTTCTCGTGCGCGGCGGAGAAGTCCTCGACGCGATTAGCGGCAGCGACGCTGCTCGCGTGCGTGACGCCGTTGAGAGAAGCGCCGGTCGCGGCGCTTCTGACGGTGGTGCTGCTCCGAAGAGCCAGATTCCGCCACCGCTGAGTGCAACCCCCAGAGAGGATAATGTACCCACGACTGCGACGCAGGCGCCCGTTTCTGCAGAGCAGTCGAAGCAGGCGCTGTTTGCGAGGTTGGAGGAATTGGTGAAGGCTGCGCCGGTTATGTTGTTTATGAAGGGGAGCCCTAGCGCACCGCAGTGTGGGTTTAGTCGGACGTTGGTGGGGATTCTGCGGGAGCGGAGTGTTAAATATGGGTTCTTTAATATCTTGGCCGATGAAGATGTGAGACAGGGTTTGAAGGAGTATGCAGAGTGGCCTACGTTCCCGCAGCTGTGGGTTAAGGGTGAATTGGTTGGTGGTTTGGATATTGTACGTGCCAATTCCCTCTTCTAGTTCCAGTAATCATTTGCTAACTAATCTCGAACAGGTCAAGGAAGAGCTAAACAATGACCCGGACTTCTTTAACGAGTTCTCCGTTAACAAGCCGGCTGGCGCTTAGTCACGTTCGAGAGCATCCTTATGTGTTAATCTACAAAAATTCCAGTGGCAGTTCTAGCAGAGTTTAGTAGCCGTGCATTGAATTGTCTGTTTAGATGATGTTTTTGAGCGATTGTTATACCATCCTTTTAGTGGGCAAAGAAAAAGAAATGAAATCCCACAGCTTTCAGCTTTGATGGCTTCAAGATTCATGCTATATGTACAGGATATCAACAAGCTTTTAACTCCGTCCTTACCAAGGACCCAAAACAATACTATACAGCATTTTCCCACCTACTTGCCCTCATCTCTCTCTTTTGTAACCTACTACGAGTCGAATTCCCGCTCCAGCGCTCTATCCGGGTCTTCCAAGTGCCCTGACCAAGCCTCAGGATAGTCACGGATACTCCGCCGGAACCGAGACCACAGACAGTCTTCATCAACATAGGCGCCTGCAAGCCAGCGCTGACCGACAGCAGTATTGAATTGTCTCCGGGCATGAACGACCCGACGATTCTCGAAAATGACACACTGGCCGGGCTCCAACTTCAGCTCGAAGGTGTTTTCCCCACGCTCGAGGAGTTCGGAGAATATTTTGAGAGCCTTTCTAAATTTCTTGAATTCGTGGTATTTCCTGCCAATTTCTCGAGAATGTACGGGGCCCTGGAACGGAGGGGAGTAGTTGACATGCCGAATCGGTGGAAACTTGGTAGGGTGTCTCATGGTTGTGGTCTCGATTACCGGCCAGCGATTATGATATACGGCACCCTCATGGTTGTACTCGTAGCAGAGTTGAACGTCAGCGAGAACGTCGAAGAAATGCGGCCCCTTCTTGTAAATTTGCTTGGCCGCATGGAAAGCGTCGGAAAACATCGATTCACCTCCGTCGCATGAATTTTCCAAGCAATGGAGAAGTTGATAGCCTGGAGGCTCGCGCATGTACATCAAGTCCATGTGAAAGCCGAGGAATTGATTCGTGTAAGCCACATTCGTAGCCTTAGGAATACTGCGCACATCCCATGTCGGGCCGTAGAATGTGTTCCGGAGAGGGCCCATGCGCGTGGCCAGCTTCTCGACCTCCTCCCTGGAATCGGGGATATCCTTGACAAAGATGAGGCCAGTCTCACAAAGGTTCCGCATTGCAGATGCAAACTGAAATTCGTTGTTCATGTAGTCATCGTACGAGATCCAGAACTGTGACTTGTTCATCCATTCCCGGTCCCAAGTACAACGCGGCCTCGACGAAGTAATAAGCTTTGTCGTTGACTTGACTGGAAGTATAAGAGTGCTCCTGTTGTATCGTGAAGTATGATCTGCATCATAACCAGGAACGTCATTCTTCCATTGAATTGTTATATCCTTGCCATCAAACTCAATATTGCGCGGTTGGATCTCATTTGGGATATCCGATGTCCGGAAGTTGCGTTGCTTCGAGTGCGGATCGATACAAAGGGGACATTTGCAAGAATCACGTAGAGCCGAAAATAAATACTCTCTCGCATCATGGTTACCAATTTTCACACTGATATGGGTCTTGTTCAGGGAAATACCCGCAGGCAATTCCTTTTCTAGCTTGGGATATTCCAGCTTGAGGTATTCTGACTTCACAGGAAGCATTGTATCGAACGGTACCTTGGGTAGGCTTGTCGAACGCTGACCACGACGGAAAATAGACGGAAAACGAGTAATCGGCGGAGAGGACCGCAGGAACCTGCCCAGGGGACGAGCCATAGTAATGGTCGACATTTTAGCCTCCCTTCCAGCAAGAGGAACCAGTTGTCAGCGTTGATTTATATGCCGCGGGGGAAGGGAAATAAATGATGCTTCTCCGCAGTCGATAAGTATGTCAGCCTCAGGCAAGCACACATACTTGATGCGGTCGTCCGTAATTACCCATACGCTGTCATTACACGTCACGTGCGGGAATTGGCATCACCAAATCGAAATGCAGCAAAGAAAATATTATTAAAAAAACGTCACAGCTGGGGTATTTAATCCCCCCTTCTGCTTCTCGCTGAGAATTCTTCTCAATCGCTCTTCAATTGTCCATGTTTTGACAGCGACTGTCTATACAGAGTGCTAGCTCTGCTCTTCTGTCACATTCGTTTCTTTCTCCATCCCCCGTCCGATGATCCCGGGGTTCTACTCCAAACTCCGATAGACTCCGATAAAGAAGATCCCAACAGAGCTTCACATGAATGTCTGCCGGGGGCGAGCACCTCAAGGATGAGGTAGAAATTATCCTGTTATATACGAAGGATTGTTACTGACATTTTCCCAGGGTACACGGCGGCAGGTGGTTCTGGCAGGCGGAATCGCCGGGCTTATCTCACGGTATGACCTCCAACTGTCGAGACAAGATAATAGAAGAACAACAACTAACCTCTCAATTCTCATAGATTCTGCATCGCCCCCCTCGATGTCGTCAAGATCCGCCTCCAGCTCCAAATCCACTCCATGTCGGACCCCGTGTCCCATCAACATGTTAACGGTCCAATATACAAGGGGACTTTCTCCACAATGCGGTCCATCTTGAAAGAAGAAGGGATAACAGTGCGTCACAACAATAACCAACAACAATAACAACGGATATATCCAATCTAACATGCGAACCGGTTAGGGCCTTTGGAAAGGCAACATCCCCGCCGAACTAATGTACGTCTGCTACGGCGCAGTCCAATTCACCACCTACCGCACCACAACCCAAGCCCTAGCCCAATTAGGCTCCTACCGCCCCCCACAACCAGTCGAATCCTTCATCTCAGGCGCCTTCGCCGGCGGTGTAGCAACAGCCGCTACATACCCCCTCGATCTTCTGCGTACACGCTTTGCCGCACAAGGCCGCGATCGCGTCTACCTTTCCCTTTTCTCGTCCGTTCGTGAAATCGCGCGTCTAGAAGGTACGGCGGGATTCTTCCGTGGGTGCACTGCGGCTGTAGGGCAGATTGTGCCGTATATGGGGCTGTTCTTTGCGACGTATGAGACGCTGCGGCCAGTGATGGCGGATGCGCAACATTTGCCGTTTGGGTCTGGGGATGCTGCGGCGGGGGTTATGGCGAGTGTGTTGGCCAAGACGGGGGTCTTTCCATTGGATCTTGTGAGGAAGAGGTTGCAGGTGCAGGGGCCGACGAGGCATATGTATGTGCATCGCAATATCCCCGAGTACCAGGGGGTGTTCAATACCATTCGGATGATTGTGCGGACGCAAGGTGTGCGAGGTCTGTACCGTGGATTGGTTGTCAGTCTTATCAAGGCTGCGCCGGCTAGTGCAATCACCATGTGGTCCTATGAGACTACTTTGAGACTACTGATGGAGATGAAGGTGGGTGCCGATCAGAAAGACTGAAGCCAATTCTGCCGCTCGGTTTGTATCATTAAGGAAATCGACTCTGACTGAAAAAAAATTATTCACATTGTAATTCTCGTATTTCTTGCCGATAATATCGGGATCAAGAAAAGTAATGTCAGGCATTCAAAAGTCGCTAAGGGGAAGTATGAACAAAAGGGGTTGTCGCAAACGAACATCTAAAGATGGACAGAGGAAAGTCAAAAGACAAGAAGTCAATATTAACAGGTAGACCGTAAACAGGGCCCGAGGGTATAACCCGCTTAGTATTCAGCTTCCTCCTCGACATCGGGTTCGCCGTCGTTAGCAACCTCCTCGTAGTCCTTCTCCAATGCAGCCAGGTCCTCACGAGCCTCAGAGAACTCACCCTCCTCCATACCTTCGCCAACGTACCAGTGAACGAAAGCGCGCTTGGAGTACATGAGGTCGAACTTGTGGTCGAGACGGCTCCAGGCCTCAGAGATGGCAGTGGTATTGGAGAGCATGCTGACGGAACGGTCGATAGGGGCCATCTCGCTGTCGGGAACGCGCTGGGGCTTCTGGTAGTTGATACCCAACTTGAAACCGGTAGGGCACCACTCAACCAGGTTGAAAGAAGCCTTGGCTTTGACGTTGGCCACGGCCTGGGTGCAGTCACGTGGCACAACGTCACCACGGTACAGAAGAGCGACAGCCATGTACTTGCCGTTGCGGGGGTCACAAACGACCATTTGGTTGTTGGGTTCGAAGCCTGTGAAGAGGTCAGTGCATGGTCTCACGCCAAAAACAGTGCGGTCAACTTACATTGGAATGTGAGATCCTGGACTTTGAAGCTCTCGTGAGAGCTGCGGCTGCTGGACACAACAGGAGCGTAGGAAATCAGAGGGTAGTGAATACGAGGGAAAGGCACCAAGTTGGTCTGGAACTCGGCCAGATCGACGTTGAGGGCACCATCGAAACGGAGACTGGAGGTGACGGAGCTAACGACCTGGGCGATCAGACGGTTCAGGTGTTCATAACTGGGACGAGGGATGTCCAAGTTGCGACGGCAGATATCGTAGACAGCCTCGTTGTCAACCAAGAAGGTACAGTCCGAGTTCTCAATGGTGCTGTGGGTGGATAGGACAGCGTTGTAAGGCTCCACGACAGCAGTCGACACACGAGGAGAGGGGTAGACGGCGAACTCGAGCTTCGACTTCTTGCCATACTCAGTTGCGAGACGCTCCAACAACAGGGCGCCAAATCCGGAACCAGTACCGCCACCGAAAGAGTGGAAGACTAGGAAGCCCTGCAGAGAGGAGCAGTTGTCTGGTAGGGATTAGTAGTGTTCAATTGCACGCTGTCCATGGAGAAGGGCGTACCGGAAACACGGCGGACGCGGTCAAGGACGTTGTCCACCAATTCCTTTCCGATAGTGTAGTGTCCACGGGCATCTGCCACCAGTCAGCCTTGTCTCAATATCTTTGGATAACTTCGCTGGCGTACAGTTGTTGGCGGCATCCTCCTTTCCGCTAACCAAGAATTCAGGGTGGAAGAGCTGACGGAAGTTGCCGGTACGGACCTCATCAATGGGCTATAATCCATCAGCTTGATGACCCCTGGTTTGTTCCAATATCCTCGGCTAGAAATACGTACCGAGGGGTCAAGGTCGACGAAAACCGATCTAGGCACATATTTTCCGTTGCCGGTCTCGGTGAAGAAGGTCTCGCGGGAGCCACCGTCACCGATCTCTTCGATTCTCTCCTCGTCAATCCGGCCGTCGGCCTTGAGACCGTGCTCGAGCAGGTACCTGGAAGGTGTGAGTAGGGAGCTGGTAGGGAAGGAGGGAACAAAAAGCGGTGAGAACATACAGCTCCCAAGCGCTGGTACCCAGCTGTGCACCAGCCTGACCAATGTGAATATGGCAAATCTAGAGTTTCACAGCACGATTAGCCTTGCATTTCGGACCAGTTGATATTGGAACGACGCGAGATTCCACGCGTGGTGATTCCGTGGTTGACTTGGGGTAACCAGGTTCAGGGGATAAGGATAAGGGATGCGGGGATGGCAGTAAACAATGGCGATAAGGCATATACGTACTTCTCCTCTCATGGTAACTAGTGATTAAGAAAAGGCGAGATTTTGAGGTAATTGAAGATACTCGTAGTAGATTCAGAGGAATCTGGAGATAGGAAAAGCAGAATGGGACTGCTGGGCCGATTGAAAGAGGTTAAAAGGACCAAACATGCGGTCGATGTTGATCACCCACTTCATCACGTGCCTCACCGCTCTCGCTTACATGTACTATCGCCAACTACAAGTATGATGACAGTTGATAAAATATTAGATAGCTTCAGAAGACTTACGGGAGCCGACGAAAGGGAAGCAATGGGAGACTCTGATACAGAGGCGTCAACAGGCACCTCTCCCGGCCAGGGAAGAC